GGATCTTCTCCTCTTTGTAAAACTTTTGAAAGTGGTTTTTCCTATAATATATTTATTGTCAAAAATACATCTTATCTAAATAATTATAATTGCTTAAATAATTGACTTACATGTTCTGTCATCACAGCTTCCATTTTTTTTTCTGCTTGAGTGGTGAATTCTGCAAATAAAGTACGCATTACAAACTCTCCAGGTCTTAAATCCATATCTCCAATTTGTTGTAATTTCACTGTTTCTTTCTGAGCACCCCAAGGCAATACAACAGTTATTGCACTCACTCTACTGGAACTTGATTCTAAAAAAACTATAAATCATAAATATTTATTCGCATTTCATTAGCTCACATATGAATTGTATGTTTACCATTGCCAGAAACTGAAGTACTAGCAGTATGAATGCTAACAGCATCACTACTTTCACCTTGTGTTGTTCCATGAACGGTAAGTAAATCTTGATTAGATTCAGGTATATTTTGAGAAGATGATTCTGCTGCAGCTTCATGTAATCCTTCGCCATGTGTGACTCTGGCTTCAGAGGCTTCTGATAAAAATAAGAGATTTACTCATTTGAAAATTTTTATTTTAATTTTTATTTTATTTATTAAAATATATTGTTCTAAATATAATATATGATATTTTATATACAATATAAAATATCTTATGTTATAATGTTTAGAAACTATTACTACTACAGAAACATTAGTTTTAACACTAGTAATTCTGCATGATAGTATAGACTAATAGATGAAGCCCCATTCTGTAACGTAACAGATGCCCACAATGAACATTAATTTAATTATATTAAGCTTGATAGTTGTACTTTCTCTATATATAAATTTGAAAAATATTATATATATGAACAATCAGTAAGAAAAAACATACCAGGTTGAGCCTCATTTCCAGGAGTTGGTTGTGTTTCTCCTCCTAATATGATTTAATTCATTTTATTTTAATAGATATAAATTAAATTTTAATAGATATAAATTAAATGTATATATTGATCAAAATAAATAAATTAATAAATATCACATAATAAAATTAAAAAATAATAATAAATTATAAATACTATATTTACTAACCTTCTGTCATATTGTTTAAATATGCCTTATTTTCAGGCAACATTAATACATACTAATATCATACTGCAGATACATAGCATTTTCATTCTAAAACAATAAAGAAGCTATGTTATATAAGATACTTCTTTTAATATTTACTTTTTCTAAAAATAACAAACATAAAAGCAAATGAAATATATAAACATACACACAGTCATAAATATATATATTTATATATATATATCTATATGTACACATCATATATATACACATACACACACACACATATATATATAAATATACATTATTGTTTATTCTATTGATTATTCATTCATATATTAACATTGACATTAGATATCGTGATATTAATGTACATAATTTTTCTAAAAATAATGTTTATAATTAAAGTTAAAAAATAAGACAATTATATTTTTCCATGTATTGTCATAAATATATAATAATTTTTTAATATTTTAATTCATTTGTTTATGTAAAATAATAGTATAATATATATGAAAAATAAAAATTATTTGATTAAAGCGTAATAGAAGTGATAAATTGCGTAAAGCCATAACCTGAGACAAAAAGTAAGAATACTATAAAATGATAAAACAATAAGAAAATTTCATTAAAATTTTAAATTGTCATTATCATTAGATAATCATTAAATGATTTAAAATTGTTAATAAAAAATAAATTATTTACCATAAAATGCCATAAAATCGCAATTTAATTCTAAGTCTGACGTTTCATAAATGTCCGGCTTGATTCGTATGTATTCTTCACAGTTTCATATTCCACACGTTCCTTCATTTAACATTATTTTCATTATTGCACTAAAGGGTGTTAAATATAATTATTCGTTAAATTCATAATAAACGATATATAGTTATATTTACTTGTATTTTTTAATATTTTTAATTATAAAGTTTATAGCATAAAATTTATTATTATATAATATAATTACTATATTTTTATCTATATCAATTAAAGTAGATACATGTTTTAATTGAATAATATAAATAATTTTATTATAATTTATTGACAAATATTTAATTGACAAAGTATAATAGACATAAAATATAATTTTTTATTTTTTATCTAATCTTAATATGATGATAGTAATATGATATAGGATTTATTCTACTATACCAACTGTAGATATTGTTCATGCTTAGAAACCATAGAATAAATTATTAATAGTTTCTTACATGTGAATGAATATCTTGGCAATGAAACATTTTGAATATATTATTAAATATATTTAATCATTTGATATATGTAATATTAATATAGTAAATTCAGGAAGTATGAAATTTTATTAATTTTCTTTTGAAAACTATTAATAGATTATTTATTTGATTTTATTATTTTATTGTTTTGTTATTTTATTATTGTTTCTTATTTAGGCTAGAAAAAATATTAATATTTAATTTTATATAATCTACGCATTGTGCAATTAGAAATATCAATCATATTTATTTTTATGCAATTAATAATAGACTTTCAATTCGCAAGACAAAAACAATAAGTATTTGATCATTAATTTTTATAATATACGTACTTGTATATTTGTATGATTCATATAAATTATATATACACTTTTATTCATTTTAAAAATGTAAATTCTATGGATCCACATCAAGTATACAACTTTGAACTATTTTCAAGTGCAATGACCATCATGACTTCAGTTATTGTACTATGAGCAAACAGTTGTATACGTCATCAAGGTCATTATTTAATCCAATCCACACTTCCACAATGACTTCCACGTTGCAAGTTCGATGTATCGTATTTGAGCCATATTAATTATATTATTATATTATACATATATATTCAATTGAATGATATATATATATATATATATATATATGCATAATTTCTTATTTGAATTAAGAAAGTTATAAATTTCAAGAGTTTTTTTGAGTTTTTATAAGATTTTAATAAATATCGTAAATATTCTGATTTTTGTCTTGATATTATGGATTTAAAAATGATTATGTAACATCGTTCTGAGGAAAATACTATTAAAATAATGATGCATTAATAAAAAATTGAATTTTTGAATAGAAATATTATAATTAGTCAAATTATGATGATTAAACATATGATTGACATTATGATGATTAACTATATAAATTATTTCGTTTATGTTTGCACAAATATTATCAAAAATACATTATAGCAAATATTATCTATCCAATAAATATGGAATTTCCTGTTATAATTCAAATATCAACGTAATATGGTGAAAATAAATTATTAACATGATATATATAATTTAAAAGATATAATTTTAAAAAGAAGTCCGATATAAAAATAGATGTTAATATAAATATTTCAAAAAAAATATATTATAAAGATATTAAATTTTTAATTCTTTAAATTTCTTTAAATATTTGAATAAGTATTTAGTTTACAAAATACATTAGTAGAGATTAGTATAACATTCATGTATAACATACAATATTATAATTACATATAATTACGCATATATCATTGTTTTTAAATTCAGCTGATGTGATTAACAAATACTTGCACACGTAAAGAAATTTACTTGATGTAGACAAAAGACATTTTTAGCATTAGTCTATTCTTTACAAGGTCCACACGTGTACGAATCTTCAAAGTGTATAAATACATTTTATTTGAAGTTACTTCATTGAACTCTGGCGTTGTGCTCCGTAACATACTGGCCGTAAGCCAGGGTTACGCAAGTCGCGCCCCGTTGACCTCCTTCTTCATGAGAGATTGACCTTGTATCTCGTTCTTGTATCTTAAACAGCGCAAACTCGAAACCACCCCAAAGGCGATCACGGTACAACACGTGTACAGTATCGTAATTACGCTTACTATAATTCCCTATTTATGTTAATAATTGAAAATATGAAAAGTGTTGACAATGAAAATTCTTATCAATGAGAATATAACTTGATCTATGTATTTACATACATGTATAATCAATACTAAAGAGTGTAGATAGTGATCGATTAGTATGACAGAATATTCTATAGTAATACTTCGGATAGTGTTATATTAAATTGTATAAAATTCGGTCAACTTTTATTCTTAATATAGTGCTTCTTTGTTTTTTTTTATTAAATGTTATAGTGTTTCTTACTTTTAAATATTTTAGATATTAATAAAATAATAATAAAGATAATAAAGATTTATTAAAATCATAAAAATATTTTTATGAAAATCAAGAAAAATTATTGAAAAATTAAAAATTTATTATATTAAAATTAAAGGAATAAATAGTTATAATTATATTTATGAATTATAAAATATAAAATAATTGTAAATTATATGTTATATATTGATCATGAAAATTAATAAAGATAGATGTACTACGCGGGTGTTTTAAATGTGTATATGACTTACAATTTTATTTGTTAAAATTTATAATTCCAATTGCTTACAAATTAAATTTTATAAAAAAAATAATTATTATTATATTTCTTTTGATTAAATGTTAATAATAATCATTAATATTAATTAATATATATTTCTAAAAATAAATTACAAAATATTAATATTATTCATATTTATTAGTCTTCTTGAATACTTACGTTCAATATTTATTTAATTTCGATTCTTAAACACAGAAATAATTAATATAATGTGTAAAACATAATATATTTTTTATCATTTCATAAAAATAAATTCCCGCCAAATTATACTTCACATTTTAAATACTTGACACTAGCGACAATTTCTATAGGTTCTTTACCGGAAATACGTCATAAGCGCGGTTAAACATATAATTTTGAAAGAAATGATTATAAATGTATTTTATTAAATTAATATACATGACAATTGACCGTGAAAAAGTGACAGGATAGCAAAGTGTCGCAAGATACTAAAGAAAGGTCACGAATTCGGGAACAGAGTACACGTTTGAGGTGTATGAAGTGTCATGGTCTTAAGGTGCGGCCGTGCCAGAAGATTGAACCTGCGCAGAACTCTGCACGTGACCTGCGCAGCTATTCTTAGCAGAGGTCCGTTCAACGAGAAGAACTCACTCTTCTCGCTCACTCGTCGTCCGGCGCGCGTCCGAAACATTGGAGTTGGTTCCTCCTGTTTCTTTTGTTAACCCGTTTTCATACACCAACTATCCGATACAATATGTCTGGTCTTGCGGACCCAGTGGCATTCGCCAAGGATTTCTTGGCTGGTGGTGTAGCCGCCGCAATCTCGAAAACGACGGTTGCTCCTATTGAACGTGTGAAGCTGTTGCTGCAGGTACAGCATATCTCTAAGCAAATTTCTGAAGAACAACGTTATAAGGGTAAGTTTTGAGATAATTATATTTATTTTATAATTTAGAAAAAGAATAATTAAATCATTAATATTATAATATAAAGCTAAAGAAGAACACGAATCACAAACTACTGTGCCTAACAGTAAAACAACGACATAAGAGACATGTGACAGAAACATTTCTCTCGTGTCGGCATCGTGAAACTGTTAAGCGTTTCCGCTAAGTTCATCCACGGCGGTTAGATTCCTGTTATGTAATATCATTTCATTCTATACACTAATAATACGTCAGTACTATCTAGCTCCAATTTTCTACTTTATATAACAAAGATGAAGTTTCGAGTCTTACATAATTTTTACTACATCGATTGAATAGGAAGTCAGTTTTATGACAAACGAATGGGTCGATATTCGATAAAATGACTCGTCTGCCAGATGGCAGTGCATGGCTTTGCTCTTTGAACGAGACTCCTAAGAACCGATCGATGACCGTGCGGTCCAATATGGCCGTCTTTATGCTACAAATTAGTATTATAGATAAATTGCATTTGAAGTCATAAGTTTTTGATATTAATGAATGACTAACACAATGCTTATGATAATACATATCATATTTCAAGCAATAATTAATATAAATATGAAAAATGACTAATGATTCATTTAAAAATTAAGAATTAAATTGCAAAGATTTAAGCATGAAATTATGTTGTTAATGAATAATAATTTTTTCATAATTGTTTTAAATGAATATTTTATTTAAGATGAAAATTTAATAAATAATTTTCATAATATATATAGATTTTATTAATTTTATTAATATCTTCGTAATATATTATTATTTTAATTTATATGATTAATTTATATAAATAATGTAATTTTTAATATTTTTTTATTAAATATGATTTTGATATTATTATAATATATATATGTGAATATGTATATATATAAATATATATACATATATGTATATATATATATATATATAAATCAATATTACAATAAACTTTATATGTTCATTATACATATATTATTCTTGTAAATATAGTTTTAATTTAAGAAGTAAAATATATAAATTTAAAACTATTAATGATTTGTTATATAACAACTTGGAATTCATGATATGATACAAAATAAAGTTTATAAAATTTTGAAATTTAACATTTAAATATAAAAAAAAGCATTTTAATGAAAAAATTAAAATATTTTGAAAATATTAATGAATATTAAAAAGTCATTTTTGCATAAAATATTTTATGTAAAATATATTTAATTTTATGTTTAAAACAAAGAAAAAATATAAATATATATTTATATATTTTTATATTCCAGGTATGATCGATTGTTTTGTGCGCATTCCAAAAGAACAAGGATTCCTCAGTTATTGGCGTGGTAACTTGGCTAATGTTATTAGATACTTCCCAACACAAGCTTTGAACTTTGCTTTTAAAGACAAATATAAGCAAGTTTTCCTTGGTGGTGTTGACAAAAACACACAGTTCCTGCGTTACTTTGTTGGAAATTTGGCCTCTGGTGGTGCTGCTGGTGCTACATCTCTGTGCTTTGTTTATCCCCTTGACTTTGCCAGAACTAGGTACTTAATATATTTTATTTTGATATTATTTTTTATACTCAATTGTTAATATTTGTTAAAATTTGTATAAAATAAATATATTAATATTAATATTATTTACAGATTGGCTGCTGATGTAGGCAAAGCTGGTGGTGAACGTGAATTCACAGGTCTTGGTAACTGTCTGACCAAGATCTTTAAGGCTGATGGTATTACTGGCCTTTACCGTGGTTTCGGAGTATCCGTCCAGGGTATCATCATCTATCGTGCTGCCTATTTTGGTTTCTATGACACTGCCCGCGGTATGCTGCCAGATCCCAAAAAGACACCATTCCTTATTTCATGGGGTATTGCCCAGGTTAATAATTTTTTCTCAAATCTTGTTAATATAATTATAATTTATTTATTAATATTTTTTGTAATGTTTTTTGCAGGTTGTCACAACTGTTGCTGGTATTGTATCTTATCCATTTGACACAGTACGTAGGCGTATGATGATGCAATCTGGTCGCGCCAAATCCGAAATTTTGTACAAAAACACTCTTCACTGTTGGGCTACTATTTACAAGACAGAAGGTGGCAATGCTTTCTTCAAAGGAGCATTCTCTAACATTCTTCGTGGCACAGGTGGTGCACTCGTATTGGTACTTTATGATGAAATTAAGAATCTTCTTTAAGATATTATAACGATCCTCACCTCATTACCTTCACAACTACAATTACAACTACCATCTTTATTATCCTTACCATCCAATGTAACACCAGATCAAGTGGTTTCCAGACTGAAACAGTACACAAGCTGTCGAGAAAATTGAAGTACACTTTAGATTATAATTTTTTTTTGGTAGTTTCTTATGAAATGCATGGAGCTCGGCAGAGAATGTATTTTGACTTTAGAAGGAAAGAATTCGCTTAATTTATTGCCGGATTCAGTATTTTCTTGAAAGGGTTCACATGTGCCATATTTCATATTTCATTTTCGCAAAAAAGAAAGAAAGATATATTTATATAAATATATCTATGGAATTAATAACATAATGGCTATATGAAATATTTGATACATGTGACTACATAAGAGATGGTCAGGACATAAAGTAGTAAAATTAATCCAAAAAAGTAAAAAAAAATAAGCGTATACAATTGAGCAAGAGAAGGACGCGCGACGAAATACCATTACGGCGACGGCGGGGCGCGTAGACTTGGGCCGCCCCCCGCCCTTATTCTCGGCCCATTGTAGATAATTAATAAATGATCATATTTACGATATCAATGAAGTTCATCGAGTTTCAGTGAACAGTAATTTAATTTCGCACTCCAGACAAATACGTGTAAGATAATGAGAAGCGTTACTTGTAAGTGTATGCATCCAATGTGTTCATGTTAGGATGCGTGCAAAGAAAATAACAAAATCAATAAAAGTAATAATAAAATTTGTTTTGCAATTTTTCTACCTTAAATCTATTTTTTAAATTTTATGATTAGATTTGTTATTATATGATTTATATTATATATTTATTTAACATATAAAATAAGATAATTATCAGAGTTTTTATTTATTTACTAAAAAAGTATTGAATTTAAAAAAAATACATTTTTATATTATATATAGAGTAAAATTATATTTTGATGTTTTTACTGTTATATATTTTATATATTTTATTAAAAACATTCCAAAATAAAAAATACATTTATCATTTAATATCATTAATCTATTGAAGTAGTAAATTAATGATTATAAACATTTTTTTTTAAATTTTGATTTTCTATCTTTTTTAATATTTTTAAGGTTTGTATGATTTTTATAGTAATAGTATATGAAAATGAAAAATCTATGCATTGTTTCTATATAACATTTCTAAATTGAATAAATTGACATTAATTGAATTTTATTGTTTACATTTGATATTTATACAATACAAAAAGAGATCTGTAAAATTTCAGAAGGGAATGATAAGAATGTTTAGAGATATAATATAAAATAATGGTTCTTATATACAATGATTTGAGTGATACATTAACAAATATATTATACAGTTGTTCTATTTGGATCTCCTGCAATTGAATCTAATATTTTAGATATACCTGGTAAATTTAAAATAATTCTTAAACCAGGTACTTTTCGTAAAACATTTATCGCAACTGGGAGGAAACCACTGTAACATTAACAACATTGAACAACATTAACAACTTTTAATTAATTATGTAAAAAATAAATATATTACTTATTTTATAATAAAATAAGTATTTAAAATAAAATTTATATACCTAAATAATAATACAAAACCATATGTTTCTATGATCATGCCTATAATAGGCCAACCCATAAGTACTACAATGATACCTCCTAAAAATGAAGCACTGGCTTTTATTTTATGTTTTTGAAAAAAAAAGCTGAGAGTTCTCTTTGGTCCAATAACACATGCTAATCCAGATATAAACAAAATCTGTACAGAAATAATTAATTCAGAAATGATGGAGTAAAGTTTTTACAAAAATATGAGAATAATCCTTACGTTTCCAATAGCAAGAAGACCTTTATCAAACAGTAATAAAACCCCAAGAAACAGAAAAGATATTCCAAAACCTACAAGTCCCACTCCAATTTCTGAAATCAATATCTTATCATTATATATTGTTTTGAAATTCGCATTTCATTTCATGCTTGACAGAATTATTAAAAAATCATATACATTTTTTATAAATTATAAATTATTTATTACTTACTTTGTGTGTCTGTTATTTCGAACATTATTTATAATTTGTGTTTAATGATAAATACTTAAATTATTTTTATAATATTATTTCGACAAGAATTCTAGTAACAGTTGTAACGTTGTGCATAACCTAACCTAAATCCACGTCATTAATTATGATACTTTTCAACTAAACACTATTTCTAATCACCGTATAAAAATTGTAAATTGAATATTGTATATATGTTGTAATAACCAGCATATCATTATTTTTATAAAATTTAGATATGCTCAATCATTAGTGAACTGAACATCATTACATATATATATGCTAATGATACGCATATAAGATTGTTTAAACTGTTATCTTGTATTTCATTAATGTACGATATGTCAATTATATAAAAATATTATATATAGTAATTATAATAGAATTTAATACAATATATAAGAATAGATAAATATATAATAAAAAATTTTATTACTTATGTAATGTTATTTCTAAAATATAATTTCAAAAAATAATTTCTAATAAGAATTTTTTTAATAAATAAATTTTATTATATATAAATTTATATTATCCAATTTAAATTAAATAAATAAATATATATAGTATATAAAACTCTGTTATGTAACTTATATTACAAATAAAATAATTATAATATAAAATAATTATATTACATATAAGATTATCATACGAGATTAGGAAGAGATTAATTTATAAATTAATTCATAAATTAATTCTATATAAATAAGAATAAAAATTAATATATGATAAATTAAATTTTCAAATTTTTTTAAAAGATTATAAATCAAAGATTTAAGACATTTAATTGTTAAAACACAGATTTAAGACATTTAATTATTTTGAAAGAAATATAATGAATGAATATTCTATTGACATTTTGTAAGTATTTCGTCTATTATCACGCGCCAAGAGTAGGACAAGGAAAACAAATAATTAAAGAAGGATAGAAATAGGATAAAAATTAACTATCAACGGCATCTCTTGAATATCAAAGACATCTCTTTAAAAAGTATAGGATAAAACAGACTAAGAATTAAGAACTAGCACCATTTTTTAGTTGTTTTTAGAAAGATGATTTTAAAGAGATATCTTTGGTACTTAAAAGATGTCGCTGAAGATCAATTTTTATTCTACTTTTATCCTATTTCTATCTTTTCTTATATATTTCATTTATAGTATAATTTATGGTATAATTCTGAATAATCATTCTGAAAATGATACTGATTTCTGAATTTTTATTCTATCTTTGTCTTTTTCTTATTATTCTCTACTCTTTTTATTTATGCAAAATTTATACATTTGAGCATAGCCTATTTTGATAAGAAATTTATTTACAATGAATAATTGTTATTTTGAATAAAGGGACTGTACAAAATAAATTTACTTTATTATGTATTATGAATTTCTTATACAAATAACATATAATACATAGTCACTTATAATGTTTAATCAAATGAAGGAATGATGATTGCTAATGGCGAAAACAATGATATTTTACAAACAAAACAAAAAACTTTATCGTTAATTGTTAATATGGCTAAAACTTATATCTATATACGATGTAGAAAACATTATTTACAAATATTTCAAGGTACACACACATTATGTTGAGTAGTGAATTCAGCACATCAGAGATGATCTGAGCCACTAAAAATAAATATTAATATTTTATAAAATAGTTTTATTTTCTATATTTAAATTAAATAAAATATGAAATATAATATACCTCAGTTAAACTTAATTTTATAGTCCCATTTTGCAAAGGATCTTTACTTTCAAATATTCCTATATATAAAATAAAATTAAATATTAGTACAAATAAAATATAAAGATAGGAAAAACAAAAGATAAAAATATACCGAATGCATCACTCAAATGTAAAATTGCCGAAACAAAGTCGCCAAATCTAAGTGTTCCATCTTTTCTCATATATCGAAGAATTAAAATTGAAAGAACATCTGTATTTAATTGGAATCCTAATAGAAATATTTTTTAAATATTAAAAATTAATATGTCATACGTTAATAACTGAATTAAGTATCGGTAAATATTTACTTACCCACTTCTAATAATGCGTCTCGTAATCGCTCCGCTTTAAGTATACCAGTCTTTTCCTTTGTGTGATTTTTAAAAGCAGCTTGCCAATATTTTAAACTACACATAAGATCTTTGAAATCATTAAATTTCAATCGACCACTTCCGGAACTCTATATTGATATCGATTTAAGGAAAACAAATAAATTTTAAGCATAGTTAAAACAAAATTGAAATGGATAATTTTAAGGATACATCCATTGTAAGAACTACTTGTCGACATACTTCCATACAAGCACAGCTCTTTATGTAGTCTAAAAATAAAATATAATAATATTTCTTTTAGTTTAAATAGTTAAAATTTTTTAAATTCCTATCATAATAATTTTCAATAGTTTTAAATTTTACCATTTGGTAAACAAGCCTCGAGAAGTTCTTGTAATTCAAAAGCGTTTACTGTTCTATGCTCATCAGCGAGTTGCAAAAAAACGGCTTCATATTGTGAGAAACCTTTGCCTTCAAGAGGTGGTGCTTTAATAATAGCCGATTTTACCAAAGATGGCAGAGTATCAAGAAGTCTAAAATTATTATATAAAGTATAATTATATTTTTAAATAATGCATTAATGTTGAAATTGAATTACTTGAATTACTTACTTCAGTTTTAAGGGTTTACTACTATAAACTCGCAATGTGAAACTTGTTTCTTGCGTAGGTTCAAAAGTAGTGGGAACTAATAAATATCCACCTTGATCTAATTGGCACCTATGGCTGACTTGACGGCTATTCGTATATTGTGAATTTACCAAAGATTTATTTTTTTTAAAGAACTGTTTGTTTATTGATTCTGTGCTATTTTTCGGTAAAGTATACGCTGTGAATCCTATTACCTTAATATAATGAAAATATTATAAACATTATAATTAATATAATTTCTCTAAAATATATAATATATATCATAAAAAATACATCTTACTTTTATCTCCATAATAGAATGTTGATATAAAGAAACAATTACTTCTTCCATTTCGCTTAGAATTAGATGTAATTGTGGATTAATATGGAAAGTTTCTGTAACATAGATACATTAATAAAATCATAGAATATTTTATTATAATTTCAATGATTTATGTAACGCATTTTCAAATTTTCGTTGTAAAATGTTTATCATTGATAAAGTGCATATGAACCTTCATTGTTTCGACATCCTCCCGCAGTTACACCTCTCCTCCAGCTACCTTGATAGAGTTTCATTTGCCAAGTATGTTTGCTATGCAACGATGGTTCATCCCTCGACGTTTCAGCATCAAGATGTACGACTTCTAAATGAGTGAATGTCTTCACAAAATCTGAATATGATATCCTACGATTGGATTATGACTGTCATTATCATTTCAATAATATATCCATATTACTTATCATAATTAAATAAAATAATAATATTATCAAAATTCTTTTTTATCAAAATTAATTAATCAAATTATCAGAATTAAGAAATTATAATATTAAAATTAATTCACCAGAATTCCCCCTCGGCCATGTTCCTGACCGCTAAACGATCTCTTTCCATTGGTGGTATTTCATCCCATTCGAGGCCACCTCTCGCCCAAGCGCCAACATATTCCCTACCAGGTCCAAGAGGATTTCTTAATTTTACTAATTGAACTGCTTCGCCATTGAATGTTTCCACCTAAATTTATTATATAATTAACTAATTTCAGATACGAGCTAAAAAGAATAAAATCATCAAACGAATGTTATTTACCCTTTCAATAGCATATAATCTATAATTGATCCCCATTTGAATGCCATTTGCAAGTTTCTCCGTACTAGCACGAATCTAAAACATAAGAATAATATGACATAAGAATAAATAACATTTTATTTGAAATAAATATCTATAATCTATAATTTAGAGGGAATATTAAGAAAGCTTACTTGTTGCTGATTGTTATTTACTGTACACGTGATAAGAGATGTCATGTCAAGGAGCTTCGCAAGGACACGTCCGCACGCGGTAGGATCTTGACGTATTGCGATACTCTCTGTGATTCCTCCGGTAAGATCAGATAAACCGTCTAACAAAGTTCCATATTTCAGGGCTTCGTAAGATCCGTGCAATCTGAAATGAGCGAAAATCAATTTCTCTATTTCGAGATAACTTTCTCAGTGAATAATTATCTTCATACAACGGATGAAATGATACACGGAAAATTTTATTTATTCGATTTCAATGAACTATTTGGTATTTCTAATCACGCCAGTTAAACTCGTGGAGAAAACTCATCTATCACACGTACAGTCTTTTTTAAATGCAATGTTAAAATGGACTCAGGGAAAGCGAATATATAGAATTTTTCGACCTGTGACCTCTTCCTATTGACGATGAAACACCACAATTACTATGCGATCGCGAGTTCCTCATCGATTACACGAAGAAAGTTGAGTCGATGCGACGCGACGGCTCGTTAATCTCGCTTGCCACGCTACCGGAATATCTTGGTTCCATGAAACTAAATCTACCGAGTTGATTAAGCTGGCAATCTCGCGTTGCCGTATTTTTCATTTCAAAAATCACCCGTCCCATATAGAAAAGAGAGATCTCGTTTCAATCGATAAGAGAAATAAGAGATACGAGAAGTGGCGATGTTATCTGTACGTATGTGCCGTTTCTGCGAGAATTAGCGTTCTCTAGATAACGGGGTTTCTTTCTCTCGCTCTCTTCGTCAACTAGCTCGTCCTAGTAAACACCAACGCCTTCACATCCACACGCTTTAGGCTAGATAGGGAGTTTCCCGTGCCACATGCAAGGTGGTATGCATACACCTAGTATGCACGTATAGGTTAATCTCTAAACCGTAACCATTCACACGCGTCGTTCAGTCACATGGGTATTTTCTCAGGGAAGGCAAGCGCAACGCTATCAACAGATAAATCCGTATATACCAATTGTGCATCTTTTATGGACTTCGAATTCGGTGTGTTCTATTGGAGGAAATACAGCAGCTCGGAAATGGTCAGTGTTGGTCTACAGTTGGAATAATAGCGAAACGAGTTAACAGGGCAATAATTCGAGATTCGATTATTTTCACCGATCGAATCACGTATCGCAGAAATGAACGATTCGAACGTTAATGATTATTGGCCAAATTGTTCGCTATTGATTTGGCGTAAGTAATTTGATATGCAGTAGTTTTGGGATATTGAATAAAATTCAAAGATAACAAATAATAGATAGTGAATTTTTATCAGATTATGGAAAAAT